AATCTTCCCTGAAAAATATTAAAAGCAGACTAGATCATACAGAAAATCAAATCTCAGATGTAGAAGATAGAATTGCTGGTCTAGAAAAATCCACCATGAAGACTGAGAAAATGGCCCCCCAAAATGAGAATAATATACAAGAAATATTGGATGCCATCAAACATCCAAACATCCAGATAATTGGTATCCCAGAAGGCGAAGAGACTCATAAGGGCATTGACAATATATTCCATGAAATCTTGGAAGAAAACTTTCCAAACAGAGAGAGGCACTCAAAGATCCAGTCCCAAGAAATAGAAAGGACCCCAAATAGAATGAATCTAAGATCTTCTACAAGACACATTATAGCCAGATTGACCCAAACCACAAAGATAAAAATGCTATTTCACCAATTCAGTCAAAGATTGGCAAGAGAGAAATGGCAAGTTACCTACAAAGGATATCCCATCAGGCTACCAGTGGACCTCTCCTCAAAAACAATGCCAGCAAGGAAAGAATGGGAAAATATATTCAAAATGTTAAGGGAAAAGCAATTTTAACCAAGAATACTGTACTCAGCAAGATTATCCTTCATAGGGGAAGAAAAGACAAGAATATTCTCAGATAAACAAAACTTGAAAAAATGTACCAACACCAGACCAGATCTCTAAGAAGTTCTAAAGGAAGTGCTATATCAGGAAAATTAAATACAGACACACAGAAATAAGAGTTCAAATACTAAGAAAATGGCCAACTTAATTGTAGAGACATGTCTGGAGTTGAATATTATATCCCAGAATTAAATTGGGAAGATTGGACCACAACAGAAGATAGATTAAGTACATGAGACTGAGTTGGTGAAACAGCATTTTATGACTTTTGACTAAAACATTGCTGATTTTCTTCTAGGCTTTGTTTTCCAGTTTTAAGCATTTTTGTCCTGTCTATTATTTGAACAGAATCCCAACTTCTTTCCTCGAAGTTTTAAGTAAAGTCCCTTAGCATTTCTTTGATTTAGTAAAGCTAAAACTGCTTTTCTTGAAATTAAAAAATATATTAAAAATATCTATTTAATGACCATAGTAAGCTTTATAGCATCAACTAGGTGCTACCTTATTATTCATGCTACTCAGAGTTTCATGCCTAAAGTCAGACATGTTTCACTGATATGTACATACCAGCTAAACTTGCTATTGAAAGTAGTTAGATTACTTGAAAAATGTTGTGAATCAATAAAATGTGGGGGGAAAAAGGAATGGAAAACTAGACATTTAAGATAGTGTAGGAGGAAGGTGGGAAATGGCAGAGGGTGAGAAAAAGGGGTTTTATACACACACACACACACACACACACACACACACGTGTATATATATATATATTATATGAAACTAGAAATGGAAAATTAATGATGATAACATGTATGATTAAGCCACTATGCAGTATATTTTGGATGGGAAATCACATTTTGTTTGCTGTGACAATTCTCAGGGAATGAATGTAAATTAATTAATTAACTTAAAATGTTTCAGAAGAAAATTACAGTGCACTTGTAACTAGATTCTAGCTTTGACCATAGTTTTAGTTTAAAGTATATTATGAATCAATAAAATGTGGGAGAAAAAAAAAACACAAAACAACTATCCCTGGATATTCATTGTTTTTTGTTTTTTTTGGTACCAAAACAAACCCATATTTTAATTCTATTTTTTCCCCTCATATTTTCAAATCACAACTTTTGAGGTTTTCACAGAAGTAACATAATATTCCAGCAGCATCAGAAATAATACTGTATTAGACATACTCATGTTTCCACAGTAAGTTAACAGCAGTTCAAGTCAAGTTTCGTTCATTTTTAAATAACTCTCGGGGCTGGCTCCATGGCATGGTGGTTAAGGTAGATGGATAGCTAACTATGCAGTCTGAGCTCTGGCCCTGGGGGCATGAAAAACACACTAGATACAAGTGTATGCATGGGTGACAAACATCCAAAGAGGAAGAGATGGATGGGAAGGGATAGTGGCATGACCATTCCCCATGGGAGATGCTCCTCTCTCTCTCTCTGCAAGTGCACATACCCTTTAGCAAAAAAACAAAACAAAACAAAACACGACACAAGCAAATTTTAAAAAACAACTTTTGATAGTCAAAGCTTTATGGATTTCTGAGTTGCAAGTAAGGAATTGCAGACATATAAGAATCAGTTCAAACCAAAATGGATAAAAGCACAAGACAGGGAATTCTCTTGAGGAAAAAAACCCAACCCCTTGAGACCTGGCAACTGCTCAAGACTCAAAACAAGATTGTACCAAAACCAAGCCCAAGGCCAGAATCCCAAAGGGCAACACCTTCAGTGGGTTAACTAAGGGACAAGAAGGAGACTTCCCACAGGGAGAGAGCAGTGCTCTGATGCTGGAGAGAAAGAGAGAAACCCTCCGTAACAATTCCTGACAACAAGCCTGTACATATGGGTTTACAACCTGAAAAAAAAAAAAAAATTTACTTTTAAGTGGTGTCAGGAGGATGGTGAAGCAGGCCCCAGGTACATGGCAAAGGCAAGTGCAAATACACCTGAAATACAACCTAATTTAAACAGCACTTAAAGAATTCCCAAATAGGGGCCAGCAGTTAGTGTAATGGCTGTGTTGCTGGACTCCCACATAGTCGACCACAGTTCAAGTCCCGGACCCGATGGCTTAAACTCACAATGAGCGCATATATGTACGTGCCCAAGATCCTGAGAGGAAAATGGAGGAGAAGGGACTGTGGTGTGGCTATCCCCCCTGGGGGGGTGATTTCTCGCTTTCTTTCTCTCTGTCTCTCTCTGTCTTTCTGGTGAGGGCATGTGCCCTATAGCAAACCCCCCTCCCAAAAAAAAAACAAAAGAATTCCGAAATATAAATGTTCAAGAAACAGGGCCAGCTTGGTGGTGCAATGGTAACACACTACTCCAGTAAAGCTGGGACCATATGAAGATTGTAGGTTCAGTTCCCAGGTTGACCTGTACTTACTGGGTATGCACGTGATGATTCTGGTTGGTTGGGAAGGGTAGGCAAGGGGGAAGCTATGTGAGATCCTGTTGAGGATGCTTGTCTTTATCTCTCAATCTCATGAAAGAAATAAATAAACTTAAGAAAAAAAAAGGTCCAGGAAATATATGTTCATAGCTAAAAATCACAAGTCACCGAAAGTGTGAATCTGAAGAAACAAAGAAATACTGAATCAGATTCACAAAAACTATGATGGTGGAATTATCAGACAATGAGTATATGTTTTGTTTTGTTTTTTAAAGAATCATTTTATTTAACTTTATTTATTATTACTTTTTAAATTTGACCAGAGAGAGACAGAGAGTAAGAAAGCAAGCCGCCAGGTCTGGGACTCAAATCTATGCGGCTACGAGGGAATCCAGTGCCTTTAACCACCATACCACCTGCCAGCCTTGAGTATATTTTTAATCAACTTAATTCCCATATGGCTAACCACAGTTCAAGTCCTGGACCTGGCGGCTTGCTTTCTCACTCACCCCTACCCTCTCTCTGGCAAAATTAAAATATAAGAATAATAATAATGATAATAAATAAAATTAAAATAATTCTTTAAAAAATTTTAAAAACAGGATCAAGAGTGGGAATAAAGGGTAACAGGAACAAGAAATATGAACAATGAACAAGCAAATTTGAAGAAAAAAGGAATTTCTAGAAATGCCAAGTTCAACTACCTTAAGAAGAAAATAGTATGACTTGGGAACATTGACTCCATACCAAATTAGACCCACCTTTAGAAAGAATCAAAGACCTGGAAGACAAACGCGAAGAAATCATCTAGCTCCTTGAGAAACAAAAAACTGGTAAGATGAAAGAGAAAAGGAAAATGTGGAGGCTGTTATTCTAAAAAGAAATGGTTAAGAAATAACCGTGGAGTGGGTCACACAGCCCAGTGGTTAAAGGAGACAGATCCCTGGTCAGTCACAGCACGGCAAGCGCGATGCATACCTGCCCAAATCTCGACAGGACAGAGAAATGGAGAGGGGACTGTGAAGTGACCATGCTTCACTGGGGCAGGGGGTACTCCCCACCCCCATCTCTGGCAAGCGCATATGCCCTCTGGTAATTAAAGAAAAAAGTAAAAGAAGTAAGAGTGTGCAATTTCTTTTCCTTTCTTTTTTTTTTTTTTTTTTGAGAAATTTTTGCTATAAGGCACATGCACTTGCCACAAAGACAAAAAGAGAGCCAGAAATCACCCCCTGGGGGGATGGCCACACCGCAGTCCCTTATCCTCTGTTCTCCTCTTGGGATCTTGGGCATGTACGCACAAATGCCTGTTGTGAGTTTTAAGTCAGGGGGTCTGGACTCGAACCCCTAGTCATCTCTGTGGGGATCCAGAGACATAACCATTACGCCACCTGCTGGTCCCAAGAGCGTGCAAGTTCTGAATAGAGAGAAAAATAGGAAAAGAAATGCTACTGGTAGAAATGCCCATGTTAACTTTGTCTCCTCACTTACTATACAACTTAGGGCAAATTACTGAACTCTTTTAAGCCATGATTGTCTCATGCATAAAGAGGGATAATAATGCCTACTTGCCAGTGACCATTAAATGAAATCCAAGCACACCCTTAGCACAGAACTCAATAAATGTCATCAACTAGCAATTTAAAAATAATTTTAAAAATCTACAAAGTAGATAAAAGTAAAAGTAAACATTAAGACAGAGACAGGGAGGAAACATGCCTATCTGGATCTTGATTTGATTTCCAAATCTCTGGAAGGGAAAAGCAGTGGCCTCCTGACCCTTCCGTACTTGCTGCTCTTTTGACACAGTTCTTAGAGAATCCAGGCACTGCAGACATCCCTCCTGCTCCTTTTCCACACACTGAGTGGCCTCCACTGCTCTGTCCAAATCCTGCCGACTCTGCAAGCAGTCACAGCAGGAAGGAACCCACTCTAGTCCTTTTGTTCCTCATCTTACGGTTCTGCTTTATAAATTAAAAAGAGAGAAAGACAAGAAATCCACATACTTACTTTTCATTAGTTTTCCTGATAACTCTTTTAGTGGAGAAGAGGGGTTATTTCTACTGGCTACTATAAGTCTGGAGGAAGATTCTTGGATTTCCACGGAAGCTGGGTGAGTTCCTGCTCTGGCCATTTCAAGAGGGAGAGAATGAGCACTGTCACAGTCCTGGGGAAGCAGCAAGTGATTCCGAGTGCTGTTAGTTCTGTTGTTCAGGTCAGTTCTGTCTGACTGAGTCATCAACAACTGGGCTGAGCCCGCATCTTCCAATCTCCTGTCAAGAGACTCAGTTATAAAAGATGCTGAAGGTTCATGCTTTTTAGATGGAGAGACAGGCTCGGCCAGTGAGCTCTGCTTCACTGTGTTCAGACTGTGTGCTCTTATTCGGGACCAAGTTGTAGAGTGAAAACTTTCAGCCTCTAGCCAAAATTTAACCAAATGCTCCATTCTCCGAAGTTCCATGAACTGAATGAAATAAGGAAGGACAACGGTGTCGTGCAAAACTTGTTCAAGGGTCTTTGAAAGACTGGATTTGGTCTCTTGAGTCTGGTAGTCCAGACAAGATCTACCTAAAAGACAGAAGCCAAAGAATTAGTAGTTCAATAACAAATAATTTCTGATTGAGAGTTACTCAATCACCTTCAGCAATGGTCATATCAGAAGTCTGAAGAGAGCTTATTTCTGAGCAATTAAAATGAACGGAGCACAGGGGGCAGATGGTGTAATGGTTATGTTGCTGAACTCCCACGTAGTCAACTATAGTTTGTGTCCCGGACCTGGCAGCTTAAAATCCACATCAGGCACATGTATGTGTGTGTCCAAGATCCTAAGAGGAGAATGGAGAAGGGACTGCAGTGTGGCCATCCCACCTGGGGGGGGATTTCTCACTTTCTGTCTCTCTGGTGAGTGAACATACACTATAGCAAAATTCATTCTCTTAAGAAACAAGGAGAGACCAGCAGATGGTGTAATGGTTACATCATAAGACTACCACATAGTAGATCACAGTTCAAGTCCCAAACCTGGTGGCTTAAAACTCATGCTGGGCACATGTATGTGGGTGCCCAAAATCCCAAAAGGAGAATGGAAGGGAAGGGATTGCTGCGAGATCATTCCCCTATGGGGGGGTGGGGGGTGGGTTACTTTTTGCTTTCTTTCTCCCTGTCTGTCTCTGTCTCTCTGGCAAGCACATGTGCCCTATAGCAAAAAATCTCTCTTTAAAAAAAAACAAAAAACAAAGAAGGGGCTGGTCCCTTGACCTGGTGGTTAAGGGAGCTAGATTTCACATGGCCGACTGCATGGTTTAAATTCTGGCACTCGCAGCCTGAATCCCAGCCCTGGTGACTTGAAAACATGCCAAGTACGTACACATGCATACCCCTAATCCCAACAAAATGGAGAAATGGGAGAGAAGGGATTGTGGTGTGACCACACCCCACTGGGGGGTGCTTCCCCCACATCTGTCTTTCTTGGTAACTACTTGGCAAGTGCAAGTGCTCTCTGGCAAATAAGTTGTTTAATAAATGAACAAAGCTAAAAATACTGTTGTTACTCAGTAAAGTCTTTTTTTTTTTTTTTTTTTGGTCACAAGGTACATGCTCTCACCAGAGAGAGGGAAAGTAAGAAATAACCTCTAGGAGGGGATGGACGCACTGTAATCCCTTCTCTTCTATTCTCCCCGTGGGATTTTGAACATGAACACCTGCACGCTTGGCATAATTTTCAAGCTGCCAAGTCTAGGACTCAAACCCCGGTTGGCCATGTGAGAATCCAACACGTTAACTACCCTGCCACCTGCTGGCCCCAAATCATCCCCTTTAATGGCAATTCAGATCACATAAATTCTTTTTAAAAATTTGGGGACCAGTAGTTGGCATAATGGCTATGTCACTGGACTCCCATGTAGTCAACCATGGTTTGAGTCCCGAACCCGGTGGCTTAAACTCACGCCGAGCATGCGTGCGTGCCCAAGATCCCGAGAGAATGGAAGAGAAGGGATTGTGGCGTGGCCATCCCTCCTGGGGGTGATTTCTCACTTCCTGTCTCTCTGTCTCTCTCTGTCTTTCTGGCAAGCGCACGCACCCTATAGCAAAAACCTCTCAAAAAAAAAAAAAATTAAGGACCAATATGAATATAAAATAAAATGCATCCTTATTCAAAATCTCAGAAAATCAAATTAATGCAAGATGATATTTCCACCTGTCAAACTGAAAGATGTTTTCTCAAAAAATAGTAACAAGCAATAACAAGAGCACAGAAAAGCAGGCAACTCTCTGGTCCACTGGCAATGAGAATGCAAATGGGCAAAACTTTTGCAGAATAGCATTCACGAACAGGCTGCAAAGCCTTAGCAAACCAAACTGTGTGATGTTTCAATCTACTTGTAGGGATTTATCCTTGAAGAAAAATTGTGGAAGTGTGGACATAGCCATAAAAATATCACGAACTTGGGACCAGCAGTTAGCATAATGGCTATGTCACTGAACTCTCATGTAGTCGACCGCAGTTCAAGTCCCGGACCCAGTGGCTTAAACTCACGCTGGGCGCGTGTGCGTGCATGCCCAAGATCCCGAGAGGAGAATGGAGGAGAAGGGATTGCGGCGTGGCCATCCCCCCGGGGGGTGATTTCTCATTTTCTGTCTCTCTGTCTCTCCCTGTCTTTCTGGTGAGCACACGCGCCCTATAACAAAAACCTCTCCAAAAAGAAAAAAAAATCATGAACTCTCAGCATTGAATAAAGAGAGAATAAGAGTACCTTTGGGATTTCATCTCAAAAAATGAAATATAAACTTAATACAAAAATACATTTAACTAAATTTAGGTTATGATTATAACTACACGCTAATTATTAAAATAAAGAGGATCTTTTTTATATTTATTATTATCATTTTTCAACTTGACCAGGGAGAGAAAAAGGGAAAGTGAGAAAGCAAGTCAAGTGTCAGGTCTGGGACTCAAACCATGGTCAGCCAGGTGAGAGTCTAGGGCCTTAACCACGACACTACTGCCAGCCCCCAAAAGAGGATTATCTTCATAAAATTAACCAAAGATTTCAACAATTCTCAAAAGTGCTTTTCTTGGGGCCAGGCTGTGGTCCAGCGGTAATGCAGCTGGATCCACGCAGGAAGGTTCCAGGTTCATGCCCTAGGTCCATCTTGTGCATGTCCGTGGGCCCAGGGGTGGAATGCAGCATGAAGACCCCGTTGGGAGTCCCTCTGACTGTCTGTTCCTCTCATGGAAGAAATGAATAAACAAACTTTTTAAAAAAGGCTTTTCTGAATCCTCTAATGTTCATGTCATTTTCCTTGGAAACACTTCATGTGTCATCATGCTTACAATCTTATGGTCAATATTAAATAGTCCTTCCTGATCAACAACACCTTATGATATCAGAGAAATGTAAGACTTAGACTATCTTTTCATTAAACTCTTTATTTTGAGATGTTAGATTCACATGTGGTTTTCAAAATAATACAGAGAGATTCCATGTACTCCTTAAGTTTCCCATATGGTGACATCTTGTAAAATTATAATATATTCCACCAAGATAGTGACACTGATACAGTGCATTAATCTTACTCAGATTTCCCATTGCACTTGTACTCGTTTGTGTGTATGTGTGTTGTGCACGTGTATTTATCACATACAGATTTGTGTATCCACTGCAAAGAACAGAACAGTTTCAACACAAGGAAGGGATTGTAGGGAGTCTTTAATAACCACACCCATCTAACCCTCTCACTTTCCTATCCCTAACATCTGGCGATCACTAAGCTGTTACTTAGCTTTCTGCTATACTGTATGTAACCTTTGGGAACGGACTTTTGTCTCAGTACAATTCCCTTCAGCTTCAGCCAAGCAGCTATGCGTAACAATAGCCTATCCATTGCTGAGTATTAATCCACGGCACGGATGTACAAGTTTAGCTGTTGAAAGTCATCCAGATTTCCATTAAGCTGCTATGAGCTTTCGTGTATGGGTTATATGTGGATATAAATGTTCATTTCTCTGGAAAATATGTGTAAGAGTCCAATTGCTGGGTCACGTGGTAAGTGCATATTTAGCTTCATAAAAAACTGCCAAACTGATTCCCAGAGTGGTTGCCAATTGATGTTCCCACAAGCAATGTATGTACTTCCTATTTTGCTTTATAAGCAACAAGTACTTTGTCTGCAGTGTGGCACTGAGCACGGCCCACAAAGACTGTGACACTCTGGCTCTGAGTGTACACCACATTAAGCAGAGAGCAATGTCAAAGGAGCAATCATTTTTATTAGAAGCTAATTCATTTGAGAACTTTTTTCAATTTATGACATGACATCACAAAAACTTCTTCACTTATAAAGAAATTTAGCTAACAAATACTTAGAAAAGAAGGATCTCCTGCCAATATTTTCATCCTGTGGGAAATTTTAGCACAGTGACTGTTACCACACATACTGCTTTTTTTGCTATTAGAGGTCATAGACATTTTTCCATTTCTAGTATTTTTATTTTTAATACTGTAAACAAGGATACTTCAAAAGGTTCGTGGAAAATGGAATTGGAGTAAGAGTTTATTTTGTTGCAAAAATGTTGAAATTCATGCACAGCTTTCTCATAACATGCATTTTCCATGAACTTTTTGAAGACCCCCATGTACATACATCTTTGTGCATGCGTGACAGCACACCTGAAGGCTAGGTCTTAGTAAGAGAAGTGCTGCCTAAATAAATATTTCATGCATTGATAGATACTTCCAAAATGAATTCCAAAAACCTTCACCAATTTACATTATCACTACATGGGAATTACATTTCTCTACGTCTTCAAATTATCAAACTTAAAACATATGCTTCCATGCTAGGGGAACATGAACTCATTTTAATTTGCACTACTCTGAGTACTAGTGAAATGATGCATCTTTGCTTCTAGAAATTGCACATTTTTCTATTGGTCATGCTTTATATGGCCCCCACTACGACTGCAGCTGTTATTTTACGTACATTTTTTTCAAAGTCCCTTCTAAATTATATAGTTCAATATCCCACGACAAGAATTTTACATAATGTACTCAAATCCTTCCTCCTTTTAGAAGTTAACAAAAAGGGACAGTCACTTACCCAGGTCGCCAAAATGAGCAGCTTCCATGTGGCTTGGCTGCTTCTTAAGTGTCGCTGTCCTGCTACTTGAAAAGGAGTCCATGTTGGCAGAAATGGCATTGATTGCGACATGACTTGGTCCTGCAGCCTCCAGCAAGGCATGATTTTTAGTGCTTTTTTGTGGGGAATGTACAGATATTGAAGCTGTAATTTTTCAAATAAAAAATAGTTTAAAGTTAGGCATAATTTGACAGTCTAAAACTCTCACAAGGAGGCTTTAAAAGAACTGTAAAAATTAAATTCTGTAACAACTTTTTCAAGCCAGCACATTCAACAAATAATATTTAAGCGGGAAAGTACTAACTTAACCGAGCATTGTAAAAATAGAAAGAAATACCCTAATATTACCTGTAACTCTCAAAATACCAGGCCAAAAATGGAACTTAATACAGAGAGATCTTCCTGGGGCCAGAAAGATAGGACCAGATGATACAATGGTTATGTAGCTGGAATCCCTCGTAATGGACTCTGGTCCAAGTCTCAGCCCTGGCGGCCTAAAACTCACACTGGGCATGTGTGCCCAAGATCCCGAGAGGAGCATGGAGAAGGGATTATGGTGTGGGCATCTCCCCAGGGGTGATTTCTTACTATCTGTCTCTCTATCTCTCACTGTCTCTCCAGTAAGTGTACATGCCCTTTAGCAAAAACCTCTTAAAAAAACAAAAGTGTGTGTGTGTGTGTATACATAAAATTACAACACAGAACACTAGGCACTGTACTGGTTTCTCCATGCACACCTGTACATTTTTTTACCTTTGCATGATTTCATTTCTTTCTTATAACGATACTGCAAGACTGGTATTCTCATTTTAGATATGAGGAGATAAGTGGAAAAAATGTTAAGAGCTGTGACCCAAGTCAATGGGATAGCAAAGAGCTCTTCCAACAGGCAGGACTTCAACCTAGGTCTGCTAGACTCTAAAAACTCACGTTCTCAGTGGCAAGGTGGTTAAGGTGGCTGGATTCCATGTGGCCAACTATGTGGTTTGAGTCCTGGGCCCGGTGGTTTGAAAAGGACGCTGGGTACATGTGTATGCATGCCCAGAATCCCAAAAGGAGAAATGGAGAAGAGATTACAGCATGGCCATTCCCCATGAAGGGGTGCTTGCTCACTTTCCTCCTCTGTTTCTGGTGAGCGCATATGCCCTCTAGCAAAAAAAAAAAAAAAGTATTCTCTTACCTTTGGGTGAACACTCAAACCCTTAGAGGTACTATGTGTATAAGATAACATACACAAATGAACGGCTCAAAAGCACCTCCCACTCAACACACCAAAACTGGCACATAATCTCCCACTGCACTCTGCCAGTCACGCCGCTAGACCAGCCAGGAAGGTAAGTATGACCTGAGAACCACCCTCTTCCTCGCACCTCATATTTAATCAAAGCGGAGTTCTAGCCACTCTATCTCCTACATTTTTTTCAAATCCATCCAGAGCTCTTTAATTCCATTACCACCAATATAGTCCAAGCCACTTGTGGGCCTACTTGATTAATGTTCTCTCCCTTACCAATCTGCAAGTTCAATGCAGACAGAATTCAAGTCTTTTTGGTTCACTGTTCCAGACACGGCTTTTGTCTAATGCCTAGAACAGAACAGGTATTCTATAAATGGCCCAGCTATTATTATTGGGTCATGGGAAAAGTCATACTTTTCTATGTAGAAATGTGCATGCCTTTTCCAACGACCCAGTATTTTGGTTTATTTGCTACTGTTCTGTGTCTCCATTTGTTTTTCTAACCACGCTGCAAACTTTGCGAGGGGCTATTTCCTGGACTGCTCCTGTATTATCCTAGAGTTAAATTAGCGAATGTTAAGTACCTATTATGTACTGTCATAAACAGAGTATTAGCATGGCACTTTTGATCTTGGTGCAAATCTAGAAATTAGCTAGGCCAGTTGCCTCACATTCTAGAAATGAAGAACCTGAACAAATCTATGTAACTTCCCAAGGTCATACTGTTAGCAAAGTTTAGAGTAGGAGGCTAGTGTTCTAACTACCTGAGCCAACAGGTTCTGTTCTTCTACTACAAGTAGATAAGGCTTCACAAGCCTGTTTCATAAGGGCTTTAAGCCTTTATTAACACCAATCAAATTTTGCTTAAAGGAGGAGTCTGAACTAATGTAGAATCCAACTTGCTTTAAATGATTAGAAATAAGCAAACAAGACTGTAAAATACTCTACTTCCCCCCAATCTTTTTGCCTGTTTGTTTGTAAGCCAGAGGGCACATGCACTCAACCAGAGAGAGATACACACAGAGACAGGGGGTGGGGGAGAGAGAGAGAGAGAAAGCATCCCTCCCATGAGGGGTGGTCAGGCCATAATCTCCTCTCCATTTTTCCACCCTGTCAGGATTTTGGGCATGCACAGATTTTTCAAGCCTCCTTGGCTGGAATTTGAACCACACAGTAGCATGTGGAATCCAGCTCCCTTAACTACTAGGCCACAGGACAGGCCCTCCTAATTTGGAATCTCATCAAGTATAGTCTCTTTCTGTCAAATTGAGCCTACAGAGTAAATCCTCGCTGATAGCCACACAGCATACGAACATTGGGGGAAAAATCTAAATAAGAAGTAACCTATGGATTTTACATAAACAAGTTAAATTTATAAAATTTGTATGTAATGACTATGGAAACAATTTCTATAATAACTTTCCTATTCCAGTATCTGTATACCGGATATAATGAAATCAGTCAATGTAGCAGAGGCCAAGCCACCATGGCTAGCACTGCTGAAACACTATACTCCATAAGCTCGGACTACATGGGAGGCCCAGGTTCAACTTCCAGTCCAACCTAAAGGTTGGGTGCTCAGCTAAGATAGCCTCTGCTTTTTGTTTTATTAAATAAAGTCAACTGTTTGCTTGTAGAAAATAATCAAACGTGTGATTAATGAGGAGGGCACTGGTTTGCTATAATCACATGGACAGCCAACAAATGGTCTATAAAAGCCTATTATGTGCTAGGTGTTAGTGTTAAAGAGTACACAGGTTAAAGAGGGAAATAAATCACACTCATAAATAATTGTAAAATAAGATAGAAATGATTAATGCCAAAAGGAGATGATAGAAGGGCTAAAGAGCTCCTAACTGCAAAGCAGATCACTGTGTAAGTCCAGGGGAACGGGCTGGGCTCACCTTTGATGGACTTGACATCGGAGGGCTTGTCTTGTTCTTTGCCTTTCACTAGAAGAAGAAAGGGCATCATAACCAACTTCTGGAGTGAAAGAGAACCACTCTACACACTGTAACTCCCAGACAGGCTTTGTTTTGGAGAGACAAATACGCAAAGTTCTAGAACAAGGGACAAACGGCCTTGGAGGCAGGCAGGGCAGGACCAGTCAGAGCTTTCTGTAGGGACATGAGCTTTGAACAGCGTTCAGTCAAAATCACTGACTGCTTATGTGGGGACTATGTGGTCGGGTTCATATTCTGCCTCTGACACTTCTTACATGTGTGACCTCAGAAACATCACTTTCCTTCTGTGAGTATTAACTGCCTTGATTTATAAAACTAGGTAAATAATAGACCTGGTTTAGAGGGTTGCTGATGAAAAAATAAACACATAAAAAGTTCACTGTAAAGGGCTAAGAATAGTAATCATTAGAGTAAATTTAGGGCAAATGTTAACTAACATTGTTACCAAGTGTCACCCAGCCTCTTCTGGCTGTGAGAAGCATAGTGTAGAAAGAATTCTTTGGTCCGGTGTCCTATCTAACTTATTTTGTTTGTCTTCCCCACCCTGCCCCATGCATCAAATACAAACATTCCACACTTCTAACACTCAAGGGTTAACAACTGGTCTCTAATACAATCATACAATCTTTCCGCTATGAAGCAACACAGTAAAAATTCTACTGCAGATAAGCTAACAATACGACATCCATGAAAGGAAGGAGCATGGCAGCTTCAGTCAAGTGTGAATTCTGTAACAGGATCTGACATAAGACTATTTTTTTTACGAGGTTTTTGCTATAGGGCACACGCGCTCGCCAGACAGACAGACAGACAGAAAGTGAGAAATCACTCCCCAGGGGGGATGGCCACACCGCAATCCCTTCTCCTCCATTCTCCTCTCGGGATCTTGGGCACGCACGCACACGCGCCCAGCGTGAGTTTTAAGCCACCGGGTCCGGGATGCGAACCGTGGTCGACTACATGGGAGTCCAGCGACATAGCCATTAGGCTAACTGCTGGTCCCTAACATAAGACTATTTTTAACCTTCTGTTGTTTAACATTAAATTTTTTTTATACTATATTTTTTTTTTGGAGAGTTTTTTGCTATAGGGCGCGTGTGCTTGCCAGAAAGACAGAGAGAGACAGAAAGCGAGAAATCACCCCCTGTGGGGGATGGCCACGCCACAATCCCTTCTCCTCCATTCTCCTCTCGGGATCTTGAGCACGCATGCAACACACGCCTGACGTGAGTTTAAGTCACCGGGCCCGGGACTCGAACTGCAGTCAACTACATGGGAGTCCCGTGACATAGCCATTAAGCCAACTGCTGGTCTCTCACATAAAAAAATTTTTACCCTTCCCTTGTAAAGCACATTTAAATAAAAAATCCCAAAACATATGTATCTAGGTACCTGTGCTCTTAAACATTTAAGTTGAAAGGCCAGTGGTGAGACATTAACTAGCTCTGCAAGTTTAAGTCAACCCAACAACCATTTTTTTCCTTTTAAAGACAGATTTTTGCTACAAGGCCCGTGTGCCCGCCACAGAGACACAGACAGACAGACAGAAAGCGAGAAATCACCCCCGTGAGAGATGAACACACCACAATTCTTTCTCCTCTTGGGTTTTGGGGATACACGCACACAAGCCCAGCAAGAGTTTTAAGCTACTGGTCTAGTTGACTAAGTGTGATTCCAGCAATGTAATCACCTGCTGGCTCCACCTCAAGAACTATTTAAGTGTGTGGTACATGTTAAACACTCCTCCTAGTTCAGAAAAGACAGTGGGTGGGGCCAGCAATAGTGGTTAAGGCGTTAGACTCCCACATGGCCAACTACAGTTCAAGTCCCAGGCCCGGCGGCTTGAAACTCACTCTAGGTGCATGTGCCTGTGAAGGGAGTGAGAAAATCCTGAGAAGGGAGTGAGGTGTGGCCATCCCCTCAGGGTATGATTTCTCACTTTCTGTCTCTCTGGTGTATGCACAATCTCTATAGTGAAAATCTCTCTCTAAAAAAAAAAAAAAAAAGGGCACAGATGGTGTAATGGTTACCTTGCTGGACACCCACATAGTCAACTGGACCTGGCAGCTTAAATTCATACTGGGCTCATGTGCGTGCATGCCCAAAATCCCAAGAGGAAAATGGAGGAGAAGGGACTATGGTGTGGCCATCCCCCCAGGGGGTGGTTTCTCACTTTCTGTCTGTCTCTCCCATAAACACACACGCCTTATAGCAAAAATCTCTCTACAAAAAAAAAAAAAAAAAAAGAAGAAGAAGAAAAGAAAAGATGGGGGCCGGCAGGTACTGTGGTGATTAAAGGTGCTGAATTCAGACATGGTCAACTGTGATTTGCGTCCCAGACCTGGTGGCTTGCTTTCTCACTTTCCCTTTCTCTCTCTATCTCCATCTGGTCAAATTAAAAAATAGTAACAAATGGAATTAAAGAAATAATTCTTAAAAAAAAAAAAAAAAGGAAAGGAAAGATAAGACAGGGGGCTGGCCCAATCTTACCCATTCTTCTATAAAGATTTCTTTTTTTCATTTTTGCTAGAGAGCACATGCACACAACAGAGGAAACGAGAAAAAAAGCTTCCCCATAAATTTGATGTTGTTTCAGTTTTAGAATTCATTTTGCTCTATAAGGAACTCTTTTCAAAGTGATATCTAATGACGAAGAGTGGGAAAGCACTGCCAGGGGAGATGGCCAAACCACCTTCTCTTCTGCCCCTTTTCTTCCATTCTCCTCTCAGGTTTTGGGCATGCACATACACCAAGCATGTTTCAAAGGTGCTGGATTTGAGTCTCAAACCACATAGTTGGCCATGTAGGATCCAGCTGCCTTAACCACTATGCCATCAGCTGGCCCAGATATTACCCATTCTCAAGGCTCACAATACTCTAGCTATGCTGTAGTGCCTACATTTATATCTCCATGATAAACCTTTTATTTCAAATTGATATACTCTATAAGGAGAATTCAAAGTTCATTGGAAACATACATTCAAAAGAAAGAAATTGGGCCAGCTATGTGGCCTAGTGGTTAAAGCAGCTGGATCTCCATTGCTGACCCCAGAGAGGCCCAGACCTGGGAGCTTGAGAAATGCACCAGGCACATGTGTGTGCATGCCCCACATCCCAACAGGATAGATGGAGGAGAAAGAATTGCGGCATGACAATTCTCCATGGGGTGTGATTGCTCCTATGCCTCTCTCTCTGGTTTTCTCCGACAAACACACCAAACTCTCCAAAATTGCCCCTTTGATGAAAAGAATGAACAGAAGCATTGTGGTGGTGGTGAAATTTTCCTGGACATTTTTCTGTTAAAGCATCAGCTAGAAACCAGCAGTTGGCATAATGGCTATGTCGCTGGACTTTCATATAGTCGACCGCAGTTCGAGTCCCAGACTCAGTGGCTTAAACTCACACTGGGCACGTGTGCGTGTGTGCCCAAGTTCCCGAGAGAATGGAGAAGGGATTGCAGCACGGCCATCCCTCTGGGGGGTGATTTCTTGCCTTCTGTCTGTCTGTCTCTGTCTTTCCTGCAAGCGCATGCACCCTATAGCAAAAACCTCTCCAAAAAAAAAAAATGTCGGCTAACTTTCTCAAAACATTTCATAGTATGTAAACAGATGTTATCTTCATTGACCCTCCAGAAAATCCACAAGAAAAATGCCTTGAGCATCTCCCCAAAACCTGTTGCCACGACCTTTACTCATTTGTTTGTTTGTTTGAGAGGTTTTTGCTATACGGCACGTGTTCTCGCCAGACAGACAGACAGAAAGCAAGAAATCACCCCCCCAGGGGTGATGGCCACGCCGCAATCCCTTCTCCTCCATTCTCCTCTCGGGATCTTGGGCACGCACACACACGTGCCCAGTGTGAGTTTAAGCCACCGGGTCTGGGACTCTAACCGCGATCGACTACATGGGAGTCCAGCGACACAGCCATTACACCAACAGCTGGTCCCATGACCTTTACTCTAGACCAATTCACTTCCACCTCTTGGTAGCCTTTGCTTTGATTGTGCTTTGTCTTCAGGACCATTCTGGTAAAACCATGTGTCATCTCCTAATTCCTAAAAAAAAAAGCTTGAGGATCTTGATTCCACTTGTTTAGATTTTCCATTGGAAGTTCTATCCTTGTCTGCAGCTCATCTGGGCATGACAGTTTTGGTACCCATCAAACAGAAAGTTAGTTCCACTTTAATTTCTCCCTCAGAATCGTGTAAGCTGTACCGACTGCAATGGCTATGGTGCCAGCTATTGTTTCTATTGGTGATCACTGGTCCCCTTCAATACAGCACAGACAAGGGTAATTTTTCCCTTGTAAACTGAGGTGAACGGTCTCCCACTGCGGGCATCATCTTTGACATTATCTCATGCCTTTTTTTTTTTATTGGAGAGGTTTTCGCTATAGGGCGCGTGCGCTCGCCAGACAGACAGAGACATAGAGACAGAAAACGAGAAATCACCCCCCAGGGGGGATGGTCACGCCGCAATCCCTTCTCCTCCATTCTCCTCTCGGGATCTTGGGCACGCACGCACACGCGCCCGGCGTGAGTTTTTTAAGCCACCGGGTCCGGGACACGAACCGCGGTCGACTACGTGGGAATCCAGCGACATAGCCATTACGCTAACTGCTGGTTCCCTCTCATTCTTTTTTAAAATGAGTTTTTCATTTGCAAACTGCTCATTTCTTTGGGCCATTGTCACCATAAACTTTTCATTAAGCATGAATGATTCGACCATTCTTCATCCCAAGTTTCGCCATAGATTTTATGTTTGTTTCAATGTTAGAATTCATTATGCTCTGAAAAGAACTATTTGCAAACTAATGTCTAATCCTCTTTAGTGCCTCAAACTAAAGTCTGTTCAGGCATATAACAAGTAATATGAATTTATCTGTTGCAAAAAATCAGAAATCCATGCATAGTTTTTCATAATATGGGTCTCCCATGAATTTTTAAAGACTCTTTGCAGCTAATCACCTACCTGTCATTTTCCATAACT